CAGAGCCCTGTGGCACCAGCCCCAGCTCAGAGCAGGGCTGCAGCACAGCAATAACCCAGCCTTGGCCTGGGAGCAGCTGCTGGCACCTGGCACGGGGGCCCAGCCCAGGTCAGACTTTGCCCAGGAGCTTTAAAAAGAGGGAAGGAGGAAGGACACGGCCCTGGGCACTGAGATCCTCCCCAGGGATCAGGCCCCAAGCCCCCAGCCCTGGTTTTCCCCCTCCCCAAAACCCAAGGGGTGCCGCCCAGAGGCCGGGTGCAGCTCCAGCTGGACAGGGAATCCCAGCTCTCATTTCCCTGGGATTTGCTCTAAACCCCCTCATTTTCCAGCGCCCTGGGCAGCTGCAGGGCCGTGCCTGCCCCAGCATCCCTCTCGTGTGACATTTTCCATGCTGGTGCTCCTCTCTCCCCCTGCCCCGGGTGAGAAATGCCAGCTGGGGCACTGGAGAGGCTGGAAACAGGGCAGGGAGCCAAGGATCCGTCCTGTGAGGGCAGGGGAGAGGCTGCAAGTGCTGACACACGCTCCACCTGCACCCAGCACCTTGGGCTGCACCGGTTCCCGTGCCCAGGGGCGGCTCCTGGCCCTGCCTGTAATTAAAAATATCCTCCAACATTTAAATAGATGGGAATCTCAATGCCAGGGCAGGCAGCCAGGCCCAGCTGTGGGTGTAGGTGCAGCTGGGGGGCTCTGAGGGTTCCAGGGGCTCAGGGGGAAGGGGAGACACTTTCAGCAGGGCTGCAGTGACAGACAGGGCAATGGTTCCACACTGCAAGTTTGAATGACAAACAGCATTTAAATTGTTGGGGAAATTCCTTCATGGAAAGGGCAGCCCAGGCCTGGCACAGCCGGGTGGCCGAGGGTGCAGCCATGATATTTTCTGAAAAATCCTCTCCTTGGGATTTTTCCCCCTGAGAAGCTGAGAGGCCTCAGGAACAAAATGCAAACATTGATTATCTGCTGCTGTGGAATGCAACAGGTGCATCTGTGATTGGTCTCATGTGGTTGTTTCTAATTACTGGCCAATCACAGCCCAGCTGTCTGGACTGTCTCAGTCAGTCACAAGCCTTTGTTATCATTCTTCTATTCTTAGCTTAGCTAGCCTTCTGATGAAATCCTTTCTTCTATTATTTTAGTATAGCTTCAATATATATTATATATAAATTTCATATTAAAATAATAAATTATATATTATATATAATTATATATTAGAATAAAATACATATTGCAAAATATCAATATTTTATAAAACATTAATATATAATTATTTCGTTTATAACTTATACTTATTCAGAATAATATTTAAGACATTATTAATATTATAATTTATAATTATTAGGTTATTATATAATTTATAATATATATTATTATATATTCTATATCATTCTATATTTTATATTTTGTTATATTATTTATATTATATTATATATTATTATAGAATTTATAATATATATTATATATTTTATCTATAAATATATAAAATAAATATATAAAATAAATATTGTATAAAAATATATGCAAATAAATATTATATATAAATATTTTAGATAATTTTATATATTAATATATATTATTATGTATATTATATTATATAATTTATAATTGTTTATAGTAATATTTATGGAATATTATTGCTATTATAATATTTTAAAATTATATATTAAAACAATAAATCAGCCTTCTGAAACATGGAGCCAACATTCTCATCTCAGAGCCCTGTGAGCCCCATCCCAGGAGGGAGCAGAGAGGAGGATGTGCCCGGCTGGAGCAGGGCCTGGGCAGCTCGGGGAGAGGCAGAAAGGCCACATTGTGAGGGCCCTGCAGTGCCCGGGGCCCTGTGGCACTCAGACAGCGCTGGCACTGCTGCCCATGAAATCTGATGAGCCGGACCCGTGACTGTCTCTGTCCTGCCAGCAAGGGCACGCGAGGGCGGCTTCCCTCCCTCCTCCTCCTCCTCTCTGCTCCCCCTGCCAGCAGGAACTGGGATCCCCTCCAGCCCCAGCACGGAGCAGGGAGCCAGGCCTGTGCCCACGCTCAGCACGGAGCAGGGAATGTGGCTCTGGTGGCAGTGCCACCCCTGCTGCTATGGCAGTGCCACCCCCCCTGCTATGGCAGTGCCACCCCCCCTGCTGCTATGGCAGTGCCCCCAGCCCTCCCTCTGCCCCACGGTACCTGTCCCATCCGGGGTGGACCTCACGAATGTGGGCAGCATCTTCACGGAGGCCGTGGGGTTGGTGTCTGCCCCCAGCCCCTTCTCCATCTCCTTCTCAAAGCGCTGGGACACCTCCAGCAGGGTCTCGTCCGAGAGCCGCATGTGGTACAGGTACTTGTCCACCTGCAGGGGACACAGGGACATGGGGTCAGGCAGGGGACAGGGGACAGGGGCACAGGACAGCTCAGGACAGCTCAGGACAGTGCCCAGCCCCTCCTGAGTGGACATAAAGAGCTGGAGAGCTGCATGTGGTACAGGTACTTGTCCACCTGCAGGGGACACAGGGACATGGGGTCAGACACAGAACAGGGGCACAGGGCAGCTCAGGACAGTGCCCAGCCCCTCCTGAGCGCACACAGGCAGCTGGAGCAGGCTCTGGGCCATCCCAAAGTGCAGGGCACAGCAGCTTGGCTGGGATTGCTCATGGCAGGCATCACCCAGCCCTGCTCTGCCCCTTCCCAAGGCCACCCTGGTCCCCGTGCCAGCTGGGAGTGCTGAGCCACAGGCTGCTGAGCCAGCCAGACACCCAAACAGGGGCACCCAAACAGGAACCCCGCTCGGGGCTGACTCAGGAGGCTCTCCAGGTGCAAAGCCCTTCCCAGCACACCTTGACCTTGACCCCCAGGGCCTCTCCTGGGCAGGAATGCAGTGCCCTGTCATTCCTGCACCGCTGAGGTCACGCCAGGAGCCCAGAGCCCGGAGCAATGCCCGCTGCAGTGACACAGGTGGCAGCTGCAGTGACACAGGCCAGGCTGGGGTGACACCAGCGCATGGCCGGAGAGGGAAGGAACCCATCCCACCTTCCCATTCCTGCAAACTGCTGCACCCTCCAGCTGCTGGTGCAGGGAATGCTCCCAAAAACGGCATCAAAGCCTCCTGTCCTGCTGGGCAAGGTGTGGAAATGCTCCTCCCCAGGCACAGCGGCCTGGCCAGAGCAGGGAGCAGGACAGACGGACACTGCCCGCTCCCAAACCGTGCCCTGCTCCAATTAGCTCCACTCAGCGCTAATTAAAGGGCAGCTGCAAGCCCTGAGAATCGAGGAGGAAAGCTCCACCCCGTGTGCTCACCTGTGTGCAGGCACGTAAGGCCGGGTCACCGGGACCAGGCCCTGGCTGTGCTTTATGGGGCTGAGCTGCAGGAAATGGGCATTTTGTGGGCAAATAATTGCACCAGGGCCAGGGTGACCTGGCTCCATCCCACCCTGGCATTCCAGGAGTGATGCTGCATCCCCTGAGGAGCAGCAAAACCTCCTGCCCCTTCTCCTGGTGCTTCCAGCTCCTTCCCAGAACCGGGAGCTGAACAGGAGGGAAAGGCCAAGGAGAAGGAAACCTGGAGATTTCCTGGCGCCAGGTGTTTGCCAGCCTCTCCTTATCCAGCAGGAAGTCAAACACTCTCCTCCCTGCCCTCCTGTTTGCTTTCACCTGCTGGAAATCCCCTCCCGTGTGCCCAGGCTCTGCTCACTGGCACCAGCAAGCTCCAGATACTGGTCAGGAGGTGGCTCTGGGGCTGGAGCTCAGCCCCAGGGTGGGAAAGCTCCCCTGGAGCTGTGCCCAGGGTTATGCCCAGGGTTATCAGCCCATGCCATCAGCCCAGAGCATCTGCTCATCCCAGAGGAGCTGGCTTGAACAGCAGTGAAGCCCCCCTACCCAAAAATCCCAGTGCAGGGAAACCCGGGGCAGGCCCTGCCCAGCACGTCCCCCATGTCCTCCACACCAGAATAACCCAGCCTGAGCAGCAGGGTGACCTCCCCTAATCCCCAAAGCCCTTAAAACCTGGATCATCTTCTGCCAAGGTGGATCTCACCCCACTTGGCAGCTAAAGCAGGTCAGGGCCTGCAGCAGGACATCTCCTTCCCTGCTGAATCCATCTCTCCCCACCAAGGAAAAGCCACTGGACTCCCCAAAACTCCTCCAAAAGCCCCAAAACTCCCTGTGGCATGGTTGGTTACCCCAAGCACCCCTAAAATTGTAACAAAGATGGGGTAAAATGAGGAATTCAGCCTGCAGTGCCAGAGCCTGAGCATCTCTCAGCACAAAACACCTTCCCAGCTGCTTGAGGCTTCTGAAGAGCAGGGAATGGTTTGGGCCAGGTCGCCAATTCCAAACAAACAAAGGATGCTGAAGGGGGCAATTGAGTTCCTGGAAAGCTTCCAGCCTAAACAGCGGCATTTCCTCGAGGAAATCCAAACAAACTGAGGGAGGGGAGGGAAAGGAAAAGGAGGCTGGGGAGCGCCGGGCATGCCCCAGCCCAGGGCAGCGCGTTAGAGCTGCGGATCACGGAGCAGCTGTGGGTGTAATGAGCTCAGTGCCACGTTTTTGAAGCAAACCCCAGCAAATCCCCATCCCCTGGCCCAAGGCTGTCTCCAAGGTTCACTCGCTGCCACGCCGGATGCTGGAGCAGAGCCCAGGGTCGCCTGTGCCGGCGGCACCGCTGGGAAACCTCAGCCTGCCCAAACGCTGCTGCTGGGGGGGCCAAGCTTAAAGCCCAGCCTAAAGCACCCCAAAAAACAAAAAACAGCTTCGATTCCCAGCCTCACCTGCTGGGCACGCGGGGCTGCTGAGGGGCACAGCCCTTCTGGCGCCGCAGCAGGAACGGGAAGGGAAGGGAAGGGAGCTTTGTTCCTGCGGGTCCCAGAACATCTTTCCCACTAATGACCCTGCTTATGGGAAGAGGAAGCTGTGTGCCTTTTGTTTTCATTTTGATCTGAACCCTGTCCCAGAGCCACGTGGCTGCCAGGAAGCAGGGCAGCAGCACGTGCTCCCCATCCTCAGCACCTCATTTTCAGCTGGGTATGACTGATTCCCACAGATTTGGGAGCAAATCTGAGCACTGGCAGAGGTGGAGTGACTGAATACTGCAGATTTGGGAGCAAATCTGAGCACTGGCAGAGATGGAGTGACAGATTCCTGCAGATTTTGGGGCAAATCTGAGCACTGGGAAAGATGGAGTGACTGATTCCAGCAGATTTGGGGGCAAATCTGAGCACTGGCAGAGGTGGAGTGACTGAATCCTGCAGATTTGGGGGCAAATCTGAGCACTGGCAGAGGTGGAGTGACTGATTCCTGCAGATTTGGGGGCAAATCTGAGCACTGGCAGAGATGGAGTGACTGATTCCTGCAGATTTTGGGGCAAATCTGAGCACTGGCAGAGGGTGGCTGCTTCCTGGAACAGATTCTTCACCTTTTTGGCAACCAAGCCAAACACGTGCTGACTGCAAGGTGACGGAGCAGCGTTCAAATCTGGGGAAAGTTGCAACACCCCAAACCCACAGCATGCGCTGTCACCCCTCTCTCCAGGGACATTTGTGCTGGGAATTATATTTTCTTCAAACTACCTCCCTCCCCATGCCAGTTTTTAACAGTTTTTAACTTGGAGCATGCTGTTTTGTGGGAATCCCTGCAGTTTGAGGGGATGCTGGCTCCCTGGGAGGGGGAACTGTGCCAGCACCACCCACCCAAATCCCTGGTGGGACAATTGGGGATGATTTGGGATGATGAATTTGGGGAAGGCCAAGCAGGGGGAGGCCTGGGGGATGCATTCCCTGCCCCACATGCCCAGTCCCTGCTGCGCTGCCCATTCCTGCCCCCATTTCCCACCCCAGTGACTCAGGGCACGGAACCGGCTCGTCCCCTTGCCCCGGTGACACAGGGGTGATGCTGGGCTGCCCCCACCCTGCTGCTGGCACCCACGTCCTTGTCCTTCCACCCTTCCAGGACAGCTCCGGGCCCACGTGGGTGCCTTCCTCCCTCCCTCCCTCGCTGCTGCCCGGGGTGACACACGCCCGGAGTCATCCTCACTGGGTGAGTCACACTGGGGTTCCTGCTCGGCCGGTTCCTCCTCATCCTCAGCCCCGGGCCAGCAGCTGGATCCACGCCGGAGGAGGAGCTGATGGTGAGGAAGTGACAGCGGGGAGCAGCCAGCAGCCCATCCTCGGGTGACCCCGCTGCCCCAGAGCCCCACAAAAACACAGTTCAGCCAGGAAAGGCTCTGCCCCACAGTCCTGTCACTGAGACATCCAGCTACCCCAGTAAAACCCAATTCAGAAGGCTCTGCCCTCTGTTCTGCAGCTGGAGACATCCGACTGCCCCAGTAAAACATCCAGCTGCCCCAGTAAAACCCAGTTCAGCCAGAAAACGCTCTGCCCTCTGTTCTGCAGCTGGAGACATCCAGCTGCTGCTGTCTGTTTGTCCTTGTCAAACCCACAGGGGCTCGGGGATGCCTCTGTGCCCCCAGGACCCCCCTGGGATGGCGGGAGCATCCCCTGTGCAGGGGAAACTGAGGCAGGGTGGGGAAGGAGGCCCAGGAAGGAGACCCAGGGTGGCTCCCCAAGGTGGGACGAGCTGTGCTGGCCCTGACCTGGGGCAGCCTCAGGGGAAGATGTGAGCTTGGTTTTCCAGGGATTTGCCAAAGCCGCCCCTGCCACACCTGCAGAGGCAGCCAGCAGGGAGGAATCAGCTGGGTGAAGCTAATCCCTGGGCAGAGGAAAAATAAATAAATAAATAAATAAGCCTAAAAAACTAAAAAAAAAAACCTAAAAAAACCCCTAAAAAACTAACTTAAAAAAACCCTAAAAAAAAAAAAACCAAACTAAAAACCCCCCCTAAAAACTAAAACAAAAAAACCTAAAAAACTAACTAAAAGCCTGCCCCTGCTTTCCAAACGCAGGAGAATCAATCCCACCCCCATTTTTTCCCCTTTTGAAGGAGGGATGGGGCAGAGGAGAGGCTCAGCCCCCCCTCCCAGTGACGAGGATGAGGATGAGGAAGGCCGGGGTGAGCTGGCACATCCCAGGGCAGCGGCACACTTTCAAGCCGGGATCTCCAAGGACGCTGCCGAGGTTAATTAAAGTTTGCACAATCCCTTGGGAGTTAGATAAGTGTGGACAACCCACTCTGCAGGCAGGAGCAGGGCAGGGGCTGGGCAGGGAGGGAATGTGCCCCCAGACAGGTGGCAGAGCAGGTAAAGCTGCTCCATGGCAAGAATGGACGGAAAAATCCCATTTTTGAGGCTATTTTCAAAGCCTTGAGGCAGACACAAACCACAGCTATTGGAAAAAGCACTTTTTAACCCAAACTGAACTCCTTTTCTCCTTGACCCAAAGGGAAAACACATCCCAGGCTACC